GGTGGATATACAGAGAGGAGAGACAGAGAGGAAGATCTTCCATCCGATGATTCACTCCCCAAGTGAGCGCAACGGGTCGATACTATGCCGATCCGAAGCCAGGAGCCTCTTCCGGGTCTCCCACGCGGGTGCAGGTTCCCAAAGCTTTGGGCTGTCCTCAACTGCTTTCCCAGGCCACTAGCAGGGAGCTGGAAGGGAAGCGGGGCTGCCAGGATTAGAACCGGCGCCCATATGGGATCCCGGGCGTGCAAGGCGAGGACCTTTAACCACTTGCGCCACCGCGCCGGGCCCTGCAGTGTAACCTTGACTTAAATCAGGAACTCAGATGTGGGATGTAAGCATCCCAAGCAGCACCTTTTTTTTTTTTTTCTCAATTTATCTATTTTTATTACAAAGTCAGATCTACAGGGAAGAGGAGGAGAGACAGAGAGGATCTTCCATCTGATGGTTCACTCCCCAAGTGACCGCAACAGTCGGTGCTGCGCCAATCCAAGGCCGGAGCCAGGAACTTTTTCCAGGTCTCCCACGCGGGTGCAGGGACCCAAAGGGTGCTGGGCCCTTATATTTATTTTTAATTGGAAAGACAGATTTACAGAGGGAAGGAGTGATAGAAAAATCCTCTGTACCCCAACACAGTGGCCTAGCAGCTAAAGTTCTCGCCTTGAACCCGCCGGGATCCCATAGGGTTGCCAGTTCATATCCAGACAGCCCCATCCAGCTCCTTGATTGTGGCCTGGGAAAGCAGTCAAGCATGGGCCAAAAGCGTTGGGATCTTGCACCCACGTGGGAGACCTGGAAGAAGTTCCTGGCTCCTGGCTTCAGATCAGCACAACACCGGCCATTGTGGTTATTACTTGGGGAGTGATTCATGGGATGGAAATCTTCCTCTGTGTCTCTCCTCCTCTCTGTAGACTTGACTTTGCAATAATAACAAAGAAAGAAAGAGGGCCCAGTGCTGCGGCCTAGTGGCTAAAGTCCTCGCCTTGAACATGCCCAGAGACCCATATGGGTGCCGGTTCTAATCCCGGCAGCTCCACTTCCCATCCAGCTCCCTGCTTGTGGCTTGGGAAAGCAGTCGAGGGCAGCCCAAAGCCTTGGGATCCTGCACCCGTGTTGGAGACTTGGAAGAAGTTTCTGGCTCCTGGCTTCGGATCATTTCAGCACCGGCCATTGCGGTCACTTGGGGACCGAATCATCAGACAGAAGATCTTGCTCTCTGTCTCTCCTTCTCTCTCTGTGTATCTGATCTTGCAAGGAAAATAAAGTAAATCTTAGAAAGAAAGAAAGAAAGAAAGAAAGAAAGAAAGAAAGAAAGAAAGAAAGAAAGAAAGAAAGAAAGAAAGAAAGAAAGAAGCTTCTGTCCACTGGTTCACTCCACAAGTGACCACAACGGCTGGTCACTCTGTCTAAGCAGGGAGCTGGATGGGAAGTAGAGCAGCTGCGGTATGAACTGGCACCCATATGGGATCCCGGTGCATGCAAGGCGAGGATTTAGCCACTGGGATACCCTGCTGGGTCCAGATACCAGGCTTATTGAAGAGGCAAGTTATTAGCTGTGTGAAGTTTGGCAAATGACTAGAGCTTTGTAAGTTTCTTCATCTACAAAATGGAGGAAATCCTGTAGATAAGCTCAGTGTCCAGCAAATGCTTGGCTTGGAGAAAATGCTCAGTAGGAGCCAGAGCAGTGGGTGCAGTGAGGATCAGCCCCTGCTTTGGGCACCTGTATCCCATGTTGGAGTCCCATTTCTGCTTGCCCTCCATCTCCCTGCTAAAGCATCTGAGAGGCAGAAGTTGATGGCTCAGGTGCCTGGGCTCCTGCCATCCACATAGGAGGGGGACCCAGAGGGTATTCCTGACTTTTGGCTTCTGGGTCTGGCTATTGCAGACATTTGAGGGATGAGGCAACAAATGGAAAGTCACTCTCTCTCTCCTTTCCTCCTTTTTGCAGATGCTGGAGGGAGGGCTGGGTTCCAGGTGGAGGCTGTGGTTTGTCCTGACGTCCCCATGGGCTGTTCCAGTGTCCCCTAGCTCAGGTTCACCTCTTACTCCTCCTCCTAGGCCACAGGAGAAGACAACAGGGATGGGAGAAGCGGGATCTCCCCTTATTCCGGGTCATCACTGTACGCAGCAGGTGTTCATTCTTTCCCGCCCAGTGAGCAGGGGTGTGGAGCAGAGACTGAGCCAGGAATCTGGAGGCCAACCCCAGGCTGTGTGGAGGCTGTTTTAAGGTCAGAGCTCAGGGTTTCATCCCTCCAGACTGAGGCTGGACCAGTTCCAGGCTCCTGGCCTGATGAAGAAAAGAGCAAGTCACTTTCCGGAGGGTTTTTGCAGAAGGAACCATCCGTGTTTAAGTACCGATCAGTACCCAGGCTTTATCTGTGGCAGCTCTCTGCATTGCCTGGGTATAAGTAGGCTGGAGCTAATGTTGTGGAGTAGCGATGGAAGCAGGAGTTCTAGGCTCCTGGCCTAGCTCTGCTTGTTGCAGGCATCTGGGGGACGTGCGTGTGAAACAAGAGATAGAAGATCTCATTCTGCTTTTCAAACATTTAGACATTTAAAGAGAGAGGGCCTGGCGGCATGGCCTAGTGGCTAAAGTCCTCTCCTTGAACATGCCCAGAGACCCATATGGGTGCCGGTTCTAATCCCGGCAGCTCCACTTCCCATCCAGCTCCCTGCTTGTGGCCTGGAAAAGCAGTCGAGGACGGCCCAAAGCCTTGGGACCCTGCATCTGCATGGGAGACTTGGAAGAAGTTCCTGGCTCCTGGCTTCGGATCATTTCAGCACCGGCCATTGTGGTCACTTGGGGACTGAATCATCAGACAAAAGATCTTGCTCTCTGTCTTTCCTCTGTATATCTGACTTTGTGATAAAAAGAAATAAATCTTCATATATAAAAAAAGAAAACTGTATTTTAAGGGAATGAATTGAGTCTCCAGCAAAGCAGTCTTAATGGGACCCAGCTTTGTGACTCCAGAGACCCACTGCACAAGCAAAAGCCGAGGCCTCTAGTTCAGGCAGCTGGGAGAAACTGCTGCTGGAAGCATTGAGATGAAATATTATGTTTTCTTGCATAGGTTTTCTTGACTTCTTACACTGTGTTTCTTTTGCTTTTTAAAAAAGATTTATTATTTATTATTATTATTATTAATTTTATAAATATTATTTTTTATTTTTTAAAGATTTCCCATCCGCCGGTTCACTCCCCAAGTGGTTAGAGCTGAGTCATCTGAAGCCAGTGGGCCAGGAGCTTCTTCTGGGTCTCCCACATAGCTGCAGGGTCCCAAGGCTTTGGGCTGTCCTGGACTGCTTTCCCAGGCCACAAGCAGGGAGCTGGATGGGAAGTGGAACCACTGGGACCAGAACAGGAGCCCATATGGGATCCCAGCGCGTTCAAGGCGAGGACTTTAGCTGTTAGGCCATGCTGCTGGGCCCCATACAGATCTTTTAAAAAAAGTTAATAATGAACATTTTGCTCCCTTCAGCTTTCTGATAAGTATGGAAGGACTGACAGGTAAAGGAGCTGTGAATTGACTAACCTTAGTGGCCAGTTAACACAGAGAGGTAACATGGCCAAGACTGATTGGCAAAGATGCCCTGATGTGTGTGTTGGACACCTGCTAAAATGCCATTGCTTGTTTTCTGTTTTCAAAATCAGCTTTGCTTCTGCTGCAAAGAGAGGCCTCTCAGCAGAGCTGTAGACGAACTAATTTTATTACTCATTTCCCTTGTATGCACTTCCTTTGAGTCTGACTGAGCCTCCACATACTGAAGGTAAACCAGAATTCTGTGCTTGTGTGATGAGGCTGGCATATTACGTGTGTGTTATCAGCTTCAAGAATTCTGTGCTTGTGTGACGAGGTTGGCATGTTACGTGTTATCAGCTCCAAGGTCCCCCTGTGCTTTACTCACAAAACACATTTTCAAAGAGAAAACTGTGAAGGAGTCTGAGATGGAGAGAGCAGAGTGGGAAACCAAGCACTTCTGAGCAGGGACCTTTACTGGCCAAGCAGGTAGGCCCATCAAGAAGCTGGCCCTGGACTGGGGAACCCCATATGAGGAGAATGATGGGAGAGATGTTAAGGGTCTGGGCCAAGGATCTAGGGCAAGTGTGGACAGCAGATGAAAAACTTTTCTAAGAAACAGGGGCCCTCCGCCCACCCCCCAGCTGTCCCAGGTGTAACTTGGGTTTAACCTGTCTTGGCCTCCTCATGGACAGGGTTGCGCATGGTCTGTGGCAGGTGCTCGGGAAGGAAAGGAGAAGGAAATTCAAGCCTGCAGGTGGGGGTGCAGGGAGACAGAACCCCTGAGCAAGCCTGAGGTCTGAGGACCCAGCTGGGGGGACCTATGGGCTTCAAGGAGATCTGTGTTGGGAAGCTAGGCAACACCCTGCTAGCGGCCCCCTAGAGAGACCTGTAGGAGGTTTTCCCAGCCGGAGGTGGCTGTGTCCGTCTGCATGTGGCTTGTTCTAGCTTCCTTCCTGGTTGGTCCAGCATCCCTGCTGATGTCTTCACGCAGTCTGTCCTGGTCTCTGCAGCTGTTTCTCTATTCCTCTCACATTCTGGCCTGTCTGCCTGCAGGACCTTTGCAACTCCCTGCTTGGGGCCACCATCTTCCATCTCTGCCTCTGAGACTCCATGGGGTTTTCTCTGTCCTCCACCCCGACGCGCCCGCACCCCTCCTCCCACCCCGTTCCTGTCCAGTATATCTGGGCTGGGGGCAGGGAAGAGGAGGGCCAGGTCCTAAAGAGGCGGCAAGGGGGTGGGCCCAAGGCTTGCTCCATATTTACATATGCATGAAGTCTCCCGGGCCAACGGCAGGAGGGGCGGGGCTTCTGGGGGCGGGAAAGAGGCCCCCCCAGCCGGAGCCGCGGAGTATAAAGACCGCGCGCCGAGCCGGCTGGCCCCGCACTGCTGAGGAGCGGAGCCTCCGCCGGGGGACCCCCATCCCCGGCTGTCCCCCAACTGCGCGTCCCCGCCCCACCCTCGCGGCCGAGCCTCCAGTGCCGTGGCGATCTCCACTTGCTTGCTGGAGGAGCCCCGAGCCGGTGACCCACCCTGTTTCACAGCTTCTTGGGCATCTTGGATTTCGGGGAGACCCCCTCCCCCATCTCTCCCTGCTTTCTGCACCCCGATTTTTTCTGCGTCTGGCTCGCGCTTTGCAGCCGTCTGTTTTTGCATCGCTTTTTTGGTTTGCTTTCAAGGAGGAGTCTGGGGACTGAAGCTACATTGCCACCCTTCCCTTATTAGCTTTTCCTGCCCTGACAGACCCCTCTTTCCATCGCAGTCGGTGGGGGGGCCTACGATCGCAGCATCTCCCGCCGCGCTGCTAGCACTCCGCTGGGAGCGCAGCCCTGCACCCCGGGATTTGCAGCAGCTGCACATCTTGAGGGGGGTCTTCCTCGCTCCAGGAGCCTCTGCTCCCCTCCCGCTCCAGCGAGTGGAGGGCTCCAGCGCGCGGCGCCCCCGCTTCTCCGCAGCCCCCCACCTCGCACCGGGACTCGCCCCGCGCCGCCAAGATGGTCATCCAGAAAGAGAAGAAGAGCTGCGGGCAGGTGGTTGAGGAGTGGAAGGAGTTCGTGTGGAACCCGAGGACGCACCAGTTCATGGGCCGCACTGGGACCAGCTGGGGTACGCGGGGGTCCGGCGCGCGAGGGGCTGGGGGCGGCTGCGCGGCGACGCCTCAGGGGGCTCACGATCCTGCCCCCGCGGCTCCAGCTCCCCTCCCGGTTCCCCGGCGTCCGGCCCCCCTGCCGGTCTCGGGCCTGGGAGGGGGCCGAATCGCAGGTCTAATCTCCCCGGCTGGCCGCTGCGGAGGCGGAGAAAGTAGGTCACTGCCGCCTGCCCGCCCCCCGCGGAGCCCCCTCGGGCGGGGGGTCGCGAGCTCAGGCGCGCGTGTCCGCGGCGCGGCGCTCACGCCCTCTCTCGGGGCCTGTGAGCTGGCGTCGCTGGCCTCCGCCTCCGAAGGGCGCCCCTTCCCTCCCTCCGGCTCCCACCGGCTCGCCAGCCCGGCTATTTTTAGCTCATGCCCACCCCCTGGACCCTGGGAACATGCCTGAGGAGGCGGGTCCTGGAGGGGCGCGTGTGAGAGGGGGGTTCTAAACAGCCGAAGCAGTTGAGTCTTCTCCCATCACCTGGCGTTTGGAGCCTTCTGTGGTTGCATTTTTGGGTGGGTGGGTGACTGGATGGCTGTTGCTGGGGAGGGGGTGACCCTGTGAGGTTTTAGGGGTCTGATACTCAGATGTTTTTGGAGGGAGGAGGAACCAGCCAGTGAGATGTGCACACCACCCATACTGGGGTCTGTCTGTGGGAGTTGGGTGGTCTTGCCCAGCCGCGGTGGTGGGGCTCAGGATGCAGGGGCAGTGGTCAGCAGCCGGGGATGTGGGCACAGGTGCAGTGAGCGGTGGAGTTCTTAGGAAAGTCTAAGCACAGGGGACTCTGGGTGTGACAACTCCCCTTTTCCTGCACACTGATTGGATGAAGTCCCCATCAGTCCACTCACCTAGGGACCTGAGCCCTGAGTTGCAGGTAACCTCTGCCCTTAGAGGGCAACCCCTAAGACTCAGAGGATCTCTGCATGCTTAGGAGAATGTGGGGACCTCATGGAGGAAGCAACACAGGAGGCCCTTACTGCGAGCTGGGGGAGCCATGAAAGAAGGGGTCAAGGAAAGGCTATGGGAAATTCAGCCTTCAGGCCTCCTGCTCCCCAGGGTGGTGTGTGTGTGTGTGTGTGTGTGTCTGTGTCTGTGTGTCTGTGTGTTGAGGGTGAGCTGACTGTGCAAGGTCTGAATCTGTCTCCATATCGAGGCCAGAGTGTCGGGTTCTTCATTTGGGGGTGTGGGGGGGAAATGGCGGGGGTGGGGGAGGACTGCATTCAAAGTTTGGTTTCCAAGGACAAGGGTGTGAGGATTAGAGGCGCTGAGGCTTGGCAGGGTGGGTTAGTGGTGCAGGGTGGCCTTCAGTTATGCCAGGAACAGGATTGCGGGAGCAGATGGTGTGCCCTTCGAGGACCGTGTATGGCTGAGAAGTTGGAAATGGAATCCAAAGCGGACAGTGTGGCCTGTGCCAGGGGTTGTCCCAGCAACAAGAGTTTTAGGTCTCTTGTGGTTTTCACTAGGTTGGGCTTCACTGTGTGCTCTGGGACCAGGAGGGGGTTGGGAGTCCTGGCTGCAAGCCAGACACAACTGCCTCTCCAGTTTGTCTCATTCTTCCCCCCCACCTACCTCCTCTGGGATAGCTCTAGGCCATCCCCTGGCCCTGCTTATCAGCCCAGTGCAGATCTTGTAAGTGGATGCAAGGGTGTGTTGGGGGTGAGGTGAGGTCCTGGCTAGAGACTTTGAACCCAACTGACCTTGTTTCCTCCTCCCTAGCCTTTATCCTCCTCTTCTACCTCGTCTTCTATGGCTTCCTCACAGCCATGTTCACACTCACCATGTGGGTGATGCTGCAAACCGTGTCTGACCATACCCCCAAGTACCAGGACCGACTGGCCACACCCGGTGAGTGGCAGGGCTGCTGTGCTCCCAGCCCTCCAAAAATGCTGCCGTCAGGAGCCTGGCATGTGCTGTGTGCTGGGGAGCTCTTCAGGTCTGCTGTTCCCTGCTCACAGCTGGGGCCTCTGGGACCTCGGCTCTTGCTTGTGTCCCTGTGTTGGTCTTGTCCCTCTGCATGTGCCCCCTTGTCTTATACATAGCCTCACCCCCATCCTTGTCTATGCTGCAGGCTTGATGATTCGCCCCAAGACTGAGAATCTTGATGTGATTGTCAATGTCAGTGACACTGAAAGTTGGGACCAGCATGTTCAGAAGCTCAACAAGTTCCTGGAACGTGAGTGGCGGGCCAAGGTGGATTTGGGGGACCCTGCAAGTCAGAGGTCCAGGCTGTGATGTTCTGCTTGCTTCTGCTCCCTCAGCTTACAACGACTCCATTCAAGCCCAGAAGAATGATGTATGTCGCCCTGGGCGCTATTACGAACAGCCTGATAATGGAGTCCTCAACTATCCCAAACGGGCCTGCCAATTCAATCGGACCCAGCTGGGCAACTGCTCTGGCATCGGGGACCCCACTCACTATGGTTACAGCACCGGGCAGCCCTGTGTCTTCATCAAGATGAACCGGGTACCATGACCTTTGTCCCCAGGAAGAGGAAGAGGGGAGGGAGAACAGAGAGGTTAGAGAACCTGGGACTTACCACCTGCTGGCAGCTGCATCTTTCTGCCTTAGAGAGGTTTATGGATATTTATGCAGAGCTAGGAGAAGAGGAAGATGGGGCTGGGGTTTGGTGGAGGAGGCTAAGCTTTGTAGCTGGAAGCCCACCTGGAGGACCCCATTAGCGCTAACTGCTCTAACGGTCCATCACCATCATCCTTGCTCCTCCCAGGTTATCAACTTCTATGCGGGAGCAAACCAGAGCATGAACGTGACCTGTGCTGGGAAGGTGAGTGGGTTTGACTTGCCTCCCCACTCCCCTGTGTGCCATTGGCAGATGCTGTGCCATTCACTGCTCTCTCTGCTGTCTTCTTTGCTCGCCAGAGGCCCCTTCACTATAGGGACAAGGGGGTAAGAGGGGGTGTTAGTGCACTGCTTCACCTCCCACCCCTCCTGCTTGTCTAGGATAAATATGTCCCCCCTCGAAGGGTTAAAAACATGCTTCTTAATTCCCCCCAAACCCTGGCTTCCTGCCTTCTGCTTCTACCTGATTGTCCTCTGCACCCCCTGCCCTCCTTCCCATCTTGCTCCTCTCCCCAATTCTCCACAGGTTCCCCAGTAGCTGCTGCGCTCTCAGCACCCTCTGCCCCCACTAAGTGTCCTTGCCACCTGGCTCCCCATACACCATCCTCTCTAGATACATGCTTCCCGACTGCCCTCCCTGCCTTCCTCTGAACTCTCACTCACGTATCTTGTTCTCTCTTGGCTCTGCTCCAGAAACCCAAGTCTGAGGATGGGGTAAGAACTGGGGTGGGAGTGGAGTAGAAGGGCTTGGTGTCCTTAGCCCCCGTCAGGGGGTTCATAGTTATGACGCCATGCAGGCCACATGTTGCCATGTCTTTGCGCACACATGCACACACATGATCAAGGCAGACTCAAAACAGAAATACTTGAGGCAAGAAAGAGAAAAAGGAGGTCTGGTGAGCCTTCCCTGACATATACTCTTTGCCCTCACCTCCCTTCCTGTACCCCCACAGCGAGATGAAGATGCTGAGAATCTTGGCAACTTTGTCATGTTCCCTGCCAACGGCAATATCGACCTCATGTATTTCCCCTACTATGGCAAGAAATTCCATGTAAGTACCCGAGCTGCCTGTGGATGGTGACTCCCTGATGGATGTGGGGGTGGGGAAGTGGGAGGTGGGTTTTGGGGTGGAGGCTGGGTTGCTTCAGGTCTACACCTCCTTGCTCTCGGTGGCCCAGGTGAACTACACGCAGCCCCTGGTGGCCGTGAAGTTCCTGAATGTGACCCCCAATGTGGAGGTGAACGTGGAGTGCCGCATCAACGCTGCCAACATCGCCACGGACGATGAGCGGGACAAGTTTGCTGGCCGAGTGGCCTTCAAGCTCCGCATCAACAAGACCTGAGGCGCCTTCCTCTCACCATCCCTGCCCCCCACCCTCCCCCTTCCCCACCCCCCCTGCCTGCCCCTCTCCGACCTCTCTCCCGTGGATGCTTCTGGAATGTCCCTGACCCTGCCTGATCCCTCCCTCACCTGCCCCAAAGTTATTTTTTATAACAGAGCTATGACTCCCGACTTCCCACCCTGCCTGATGGGCCTTGGGACTCTCCTGGCTACAGCACTCCCTCTACACACACACACACACACACATACACACACCGCCCCAACTTCCCCCCAACCTGAGCTTGGCCAGAGACGGGAAGATGCGTTACCGAGATGGTTACAGAGCAAGGGGCAGCTGCTATCGTTCCATGATGGTTGCAAGTGGGGTGTTTTTACAGACCACCACTTCTCTTGCTCCCTTTTCTGGGGAGCTGCAACAAATACCACTTACCCACTGCCCTTATACACACACACACACACACACACACACACACACACACACCGTTGTGTCAGCTCTTGGCTTCCCTTCTCCATTCCTGGCCCACCCGTTTCCTTCCCCTCCCCATGCTCCTCGTGGGTTCTCACAGCTGCTTTCCCCGGAAGTGCTGTTGCCCTCTCGGCTGCCTTCCTTGTAGGTACCTGAGCACAAGCTGGTTGGTTCTGTGGCCTCCCCTGCACATTCTGCTTCTCACCCTGTGATGACCCCACGAGCTGGGAAACAAGGAGCTAGATGTCTCTGCTGATCCTTCTTGAACATTCTAGAGAATGCTAGAGCGTCCTGGTTCCTTCCCTGTCCCTCCAAGAGCCACAGCTCCTCAAGGCAGGGTGGACAGAGGCTTGAATTCTCCTCTTTTTACCCCTGGCATCCTTCCCAGAATATCCCTCGAGTGGCGTGTCCCAGGGAACTCTGGGGGAGGGGTGGCCGTCTTGGCCCCATCCCCAGCGGCCACCTTGCTATGCCATGGGACTGTTCCTCCTTCCCAGAGTCGCCGGTGGCCGCCACCTCCTCTCTCTCCGGCTTCCCTTTAGCAAGTTACCAACAGATCACCAACTCCTCCCGACTCCTCCGCATGCCAGCCCTCCTCCGGCCAGGTTCCTATCTCTTCCAGATCCTTCCATCTTTACAGGAAAAACCCCAGAACGTCCCTTGCAGGTTAAATGAGGACCTCCAGCCTGGAGTGCTTCTTAGGTTTTGAGGCATTTTAACCTTTTCCTATGCCTTTATCTCCTCCCACCTTCTAACCTTCCTTTCCTTTGTTAATGCTGCCTCCTCCCCGCACACCAACAGCTCCCCTCTGCTTCCAAACGTGGGTCCTTCCCTTTTTTCTTCCTGCTGGATGTGTGTCTCTTCCCATCGGGTCCCCAGACTTCCTTACACCCACCCCTTCCTCCATGATCTCTCTCTGCAGTTATTTAATGCCTGTGTCAGATCTACTGTAAAAAGAGGATAAAGTACAATAAAATGAGAGCAACTATATATATAAATACATATCATACACAGAGCCCGGTGTGCGGGTGCTTCCTTTTGAATGTTGGGAAGATAGTGGAGAGGGTTTGTGGGGGATGCCAGGATCATCCAGATGTGGGGGATGTTTCCCCAACTTCACATCCTCTTCCCACTCTTTCACCTTGACTCATTTTATGAAACATTTTTATTGATTGACAGTGACCGACAGGAATCTTCCATTTGCTGGTTTGTTCCCAAATGCCTGCAGCAGGCAGGGTTGGGCCAGGCGAAAGCCAGAAGCCTAGAACTCAGTCTGGGTCTCCCACGTGGGCAGGTGGCAGAGACCCAAGGATTGGAGCCATCACCTGCTGCCTCTCAGGGTGTGCGTTAGCAGAAAGCTGGGTGTGGAGTGCAGGAACTGGACTCAGGCACTCTGATGTGAGCTGCGGGTTTTCATGTGGTGTGTCAACTGCTGTGTCCGTTGTCTTCCCTGCCTGGACATTCTACCATCATTCAGTGTAAGAGAGGGAGGAAGCTACACTCCTCTGCCCAGTCATACAGTGCCTCCTATGTATGTTCTAGGCAGCAGGAAGACACACTAAAGAAGCAGAGTTCCCCAAGGGGCCCCACAGTTTAGTGGAAAGAAGAGGAGCTCATGAGAAACTGTTGTACAAGGTTAACCAAAATGTGCTTCCAGGAAGCAGTGGGAGCTGGTGATGACAACATTCAAGGAGTAGGGCCCCAGCGTGTGGCGTAGCGACTAAGGTCCTCTCCTTGAATGCGCCAGGATCCCATATGGGCACCGGTTCTAATCCCCGCAGCTTCACTTCCCATCCAGCTCCCTGCTTGTGGCCTGGGAAGGCAGTCCAAGACAGCCCAAAGCTTTGGGACCCTGCACCCACGTGGGATACCTGGAAGAAGTTCCTGGATTCTGGCTTCGGATCGGCATAGCATCGACCCGTTGCGCTCACTTGGGGAGTGAATCATGGAATGGAAGATCTTCCTCTCTGTATATCTGCCTTTCCAATAAAAATTAAAAAAAAATAAATCTTAAAGAAAAAATTCAATGAGTAGTCACTTCCTGGGAAGGCTTCAAAGGGAAGAATTTTTTTTTTTTTTAAAAAGATTTATCTATTTTTATTGGAAAGTGAGATTTACAGAGAGGAGAGACAGATCTTCCATTTGCTGGTTTACTACCCAACTGATCACAACGGTCAGAGCTAAGCTGATCCAAAGCCAAGAGCTTCTTTGGGGTCTCCCATGTGAGTGCAGGGTCCCCAGGCCTTGGGTCATCCTCGACAGCATTCCCAGGCCACAAGCAGGGAGCTGGATGGAAACAGGGCTGCCGGGATACAAACCGGCACCCATATGGGATTCCAGTACATGCAAGGCAAGGACTTTAGCCACTAGGCCAGCGCACTGGACCTTTTTAAAAGGTTTATTTATTTTAAAGATTGATCTATTGGAAAGGCAGAATGATGGAGAGACAGAGAGATTGAGATCTTTCATCCACTGGTTCCTCAAAAGTCTGCAACAACCAGAGATAACTCAGGCCAAGAACTCCGTGAGTCTCCCAAGAAGGTACATGAACCCGAGTACTTGGGCCATTATCTGCTGCCTCCCACATACATTACACATACATACATTAGCTGGGTTGAAAGTGGCAGGACTTGAACTAACATTTCGATATGGGATACTGGTGAGGCTTAACCTGCTGTGCCATAATGTTGACCTCAATATTTTTATTTTCTAAATAAATTATTTTAAAAAATATTTATTTGATAATTTACATTCGTTAGTTTGAAAGGCAGAGAGAAAAACAAAAGACTGACAGATCTTCCAATTCCAGTTTACTCTCTAAAGGGCCACAACAGTCCGGATTAGGCTGGACTGAATCTGGGAGCCTGGAATCCAGCCTAGGTCTCTTATGTGGCAAGAATATGTGAGTACTTAAGCCATCAGCTGCTGACTCCCATAGTACCCATTATCAGGAAGCTGAAATCAGAAGTAGAATCAGAACTTGATTCTAGAACTGATTCTTCTTAATTCTACTTGCACCATTTTTAAAAAAAGGAGTTCTTTATGGGCCTGGCACAGTAGCCTAGTGGTTAGGGTCTTTGCCTTGAATGCATCAGGATCCCATATGGGCACCTGTTCTAATCCTGGAGGCTCTACTTCCCATCCAGCTCCCTGCTTATGGCCTGGGAAAGCAGAGGAGAATGGCCCAAGGCTTTGGGACGCTGCACCGCTTGGGAAACCCAGAGGAGTCTTCTAGCTCCTGGCTTCAGATTGGCACAGATTTGGCCGTTGCGGCCACTTGGAGAATGAACCATTGGGTGGAAAATATTCCTCTTTGTCTCTCCTCCTGTCTGTATATCTGCCTTTCCAATAAAAATAAATAAATCTTAGAAAAAAAAAAAAGAAAAGAAAAAATCAGGGGACATGTAGGGGCGGATCTTTACCCCAATGGTTGACAGAAGTATACCCTCTGCTGGAGTGCTGGGGTGAGATGCTTAGTTTAATGCGAACTTGGGACATCTGACTTTGAGTTCTGAGCTCCGGGTTTTGCCCAGGCCCAGTCCTGGCCATCGCAGGCATTTGAGTTAGTGGACAAGAAGATGGAAGCGCTCTCTGCCAATCCAAAAAGAAAGAAAACATACTGCCTGTGAATTTCAAGTGTGGATTACAGTGATGAAGACACGACTTCGGTGGGATGAGGCCTGGGCTGGTTGAGCATCAGGGCAGGCCAGTCTGCCACAGGTGCCCAGGACATAAGCCAAAGCAAGGCCCTGGGGAATGACTGCTGACCAGGTTCAGACACCTGACTCAGTCCCACAGAGAAGTCAACAGGTGGAAGCAGAGAGGCAAGAGGGTAACCGCGGGTCCCCTAGCTTAGAGCAGAGCTGGGCTGCCCGTACACTGAGGTCTTAAGATTCAGTCCAGGGGTCCACCTGCTCATACAGAGGAATCGCTTCCAAAGGTACGTGAGTGGAACAAGTAGAGCTGGAGACTCGAGCCAGGGACATGCCGAGGGCAGGCAGGCACTGGCTGTTCACTGGCCGAGGGTAGTTTTTAGTTTCCTTGGAATTTGCAAATGTTCTGGCCTCAAGCAGTAACTGTGTGTGAATTTGGTTACGGAAAACATTTTACAATGTACATATGTACCAAATCATCAACTCATACCTTGAATCTATACAAGTTTCCATTGAGTCCATGGTGAACAAAAGGGGAAAAAAGAAAAAAAAAGTGGAGGGGGGGGTGGAGTTTTCAAGGTGGTCTTTGTTCAGGAGCAAGGAGGGGGCTTGTGTGGGGCTGGGGAATATGCATTGGCTGTGGCCTTCCCTAGTTAAGAAAGAGGGTCCTGTAGGAGAGAGGTGGGTGACTTCCCAGCCACCGGTGTTCCTGTCTGACCAGGCAAGGGCTCTCATTGGTGTGTGGAGCCCAGCTAATGGCCTGGTAAGACAGCAGCCGGGACAGTCCCTCTGAACCTGACCCCCCTTCTCTCTATCCCCATCCCCTCCACCAGGACAACCATCATAGTGGATGGTGGGGAGAGCCTGCCCCACCCCCTCCCTGGGAGCTGGGCCACAGGGCAGCCAGGGGGTGCCTGGGCTCCCCAACCCCGACTCTAGTCTCTACCCCAAGAAACCCT